GAGCTGGCAACGACAGAAGTTGAGAGGCTCCACAAAGAGTGGAGCTGGGAGAGTTTGGAGCTCCACCACGAGGGCAGTGGAGCTGAGAGAGCTGGGAGCTCCACGGGGAGTGGATCGAGAATCAGCGACGAGCTGCGGCAAGCTCCGTGCCCGCGCCGCCAGCGCCTCCCCGCGGACGGTGCTGGGATCGCACCGCGGCAGAGCGCGAACGAAGAGGGGGAGGAGGATGATTGATGGGAAGTGGGGCTGAACGATTAATCGGTTTCAGATCGAAATCGCAATTTGAAACAATGCGATTAGCAAATCGCAAAGGCTACGATTTTTTGCGATTTTAAAAGTCATTACTTATTGGAATTGTCTTATTTTTTTTATTATTATAACTTTATTTAACTTAATTGTTCTATGTTTGATTGTGCTATTTTAATTACACCATTTTAATAAATACATGTTGGAAGCAATTAATATTCATAATAAAGGTTTTTGGGTTAGATCGCGTTTATTTATAAATGTGTCGTAACCCTCCACCACCCGACACGGCCAATCAGCAAAAAAAGGTGTCACGTTGACAAAAAGACAAATAATTCACTACTTTAGCCCACCGGTGTGTTGAAGAGCGAATCCACATTTACACACCGGTGGGCTAAAGTAGTGAATTATTTGTCTTTTTGTCAACGTGACACCTTTTTTTGCTGATTGGCCGTGTCGGGTGGTGGAGGGTTACGACACATTTATAAATAAACGCGATCTAACCCAAAAACCTTTATTATGAATAATATTGGTCGCGAAAGCCTACATGTTAAACTGAGCAATTAATATATTTTAAGTTCACATCATTGCATTAGACTGTATAGAGCAGTTAATATTTTGATGGTATCATGTGGTTAATGCTCCATCACACGTTTTAAATCTATTACACAGTGAATATCGACCTGAATCTCGACTTAAAAAAAAAATAATCGCAAATGAAATCGCAACGTCAGAAAAATCGCATTTAGATATTTCACCCCAAATCGTTCAGCCCTAATGGGTAATGGAGGAAGGGAAAAAAACATTTCCACCGCGTCCCGTTGGCTCGCTCACGCCGACACGCGGGAGGGCCTTCTCCCGCACTCGGAACCTCATGCACCCTCGTGGTCACCGTCGGACAACAGAGGCGGCCACTGCATCGCGCGCTTTTAAACGCTCTTCTTCCTTGCGATATTAGGAAGCAACTGGGGGGGGGGGAGCAGTGCCGGATTAAGCTAGCGCGGGGCCTGTAGCGTATGTTGTAAAGGGGCCCTAAATTAAAATAAAAACACATAAATATTAAAACTCTATTTTGTTGCTTGCATAGTAAAGTACTTGAATTTTTTTCATTTGCTACACAGCCACATAATACTAATCGCTAACCTTAAACACCCAGTCGTTCATAAAAGTTGAAGGCGGTATAGTACTATAGTCATAGAGCAAGTGCAGAATCACTGAACCGGAATTGATAGCTTGAAAGCATTTAGCGCGGGGCCCTTGAAAGTACGGGGCCCGTAGCTACTACATATGTAGTAGCTACTACATATTTAGTAGCTACGACATGTAGTATTTAGTAGTAGCTACTACTACATCTACATCTGTAGTAGTAGCTACTTTTGCTACTAGGATAGTAGTAGCTACTTTTGCTACTAGGATAAGGATAATCCGGCACTGCTTAAAAGCTATATGCACGTTTAAATCATCTAGATTTAAAACACATTTCTTTATAACTGTTTTCTGTTTGTTTCGTTGTCCTTCCCCCGCACTTCCGGTTACCACGGTTCGCTACGTACTGTGCTAAACAAAAGTTCAACATACACACACACACAGCCGGTCAATGTCACGCATCGGCATGACCCAAATGTCACCAAACTTGACAAACCGAGTTGACGTCAGCGAGCACCGCTGAAGGCGGACACGGCACTTGGGGGCAGCAGTGGCTGGAGAGGTTTGGCCAACGCAGCAGACTCGACGAGAACTCCCCCCCCCCCAAATGGCCATAACCCCCCCACCGTGGTTTGTGACGTTCCAGTTGTCAAGCCCTGTGAACAAGGCATGGGGGTCAGGATTCGTGAGGACCGGGCAGCCAGCGACACCCAAATCAATCTAAAATTCAACACAGCAAGGCGCCGGCGGCGGCGGTGACGGAATGAACGACCCCGAGAAGAAGTCCACCAGGGAGATGGAGCAATTAAATCAACTCGGAATGCACGCGCTCGACCAGGGCTCGGTGGCCTGGGGCTCCGGAACCGCAAGCGGCTCTTTTAAGAACTGCTGCGTCGTGACGGTATTCACGTGCAGTGCGGCTCTTGAAATAGTTTCTTAATATATACCGAATTCGAAAAAAAAACAGGCTCTTCTTGTTATTTTTGTTGCAGACCCCTGTGCTGAATGGATTGTTACATCACAGAATCGAGTTTGCGACGATTTATGAAGTGGATTGATTGTGGCTGGTGATGACAGAAAGCAAAACCGTCAACATATCTTCCCTGACAAAACGGGCTTGGTGCAGCCTTCAACTGAAGCAGTGGTGAAAATTCCACATTCCCGTGACAGGGATCAGCATATTCAAGGAAAATCCAACATTGCCTTCCCACAAAGGGGCACTCATTTTAGTAACACCCCCCCCCACCCCCAGAGGATTGATGGGCCGAGTGGACTCCAGACCGTGGACATGGATGCTTCGCATTGGGAGTGGAGCACGCGGCCTGCGCCGGTAGTCTCACAAACGACACGCGCCTTGCGGGAGCCCCGGGCAAACCACGCCATCGTTCCGACTCGGACAATAAGAGGGATGGGGGGGGGGTTTGGTTGTCACTCCACTCGCGGGAGAGGAATATGGCTCAACTTCTCAAGCCGCCCGAGACGAGGCGGTGACAACTGGAGCAGCATAAGCTTCTCTCGGGATTACGAGCCTCGCCACAAAACCAAACGTTACATCACTGGGGGAAAAGAGGATAAACTAAACAAGCGGACAATCCGAATCGTTGCCAATGCTCCAGTTTGCCGGTTGGCTCCACGTAGAGCTGAATGTGTATACATTATTCACGGTGTTGGTTCCGCTGCAGAAAAAAAAAGCAGCTTGTAAAAATAAATAACATTTGCAATTCTGTTTGTAGCAAAATGAAGGACATTGTTTATACGCGGTGATTTATAAGCGTGCAACTTTAGCCCCAGTAAAATATTAATGAGACATCAGGAACGCACGACACACCACATCACTCGAGTATGCAGAAGCCCTTTATTGCGTGTGATCTCCACGTGGGGCCATGCGGAGCACGAGGGTGACGATGGGTCAACTTCGGCGCTGTTTCCACTCTCCTCGCTAACCCTCACCACGACGTCAGACCGTTCCTCGACGGCTTTGCGCCTCCGTGCCCAATGGATATCTTCGTTTTGAGGCCGCGTGGCTGACAAAACCACCACAACCGCTCCGCCAACCGAGGGCAGGGCCGTTGACGGAGGTGGAGGTGGTGGGCCGATAGGTGCCTACTGCTCTGTGCCAAGCTCACGAGCGAGCGTTGAGCGAGGGTTGAGTGAGGCGCACCTTCCCCTCGCCCGTACCTGATGCACCGGGGGGGGGGGGGGGGGGGGGGGGGGGGGGGGTGAGCGACACGGCCACGCGGGAGCACGCACGCGTGCCCACAACGAAGACTTCATAGGAATGTGCGACTCGCGCACAAACACCCGACGATTTTACGAGAGGATTACATGGGAAAGCGACCTTTACACATACGTTATAAACTAAGTAGCGGAGTAAGCTTTTGTTTTACAATGGACGAGGATTGAGCGGACACGCACTTCCGTCACCTCTGCACGGAAGACAGCGAAACGAAGCGACGCAGCAGCACGGTGCCAGCACGGTGCCAGCACGGTGCCAGCACGGTGTCAGCACGGTGCCAGCACGGTGTCAGCACGGTGCCAGCACGGTGCCAGCACGGTGCCAGCACGGTGCCAGCACGGTGCCAGCACGGTGCCAGCACGGTGCCAGCACGGTCCGACGAACTCTGAAATTTTGGTCGCTCATTTTGCACGATCGCAGGTGCATCCCTGACGACGCCCCACGAGCACGATGCTGCGGCGGAGAGGGCAAATGCGCGGGGCTTTGTAAACCGACAAACAAGTTGAAGCGCGGCCCCGCCACTCCGCACGCGAGTGGATTCCGCGCGGGCGTGGAGCGATTGTACCGCGGGGACCCACACCTCCGCGACACGTGGTGCACGTAAAATTTTGATTTAAAGCTTTCGTGACTGCAGTAATTCATATTCTTAGCTCTTTCGGTAAAGTCACGTTGAAGGGAAACAATAAAATAATAAAATATATATAAAACAATAAAAATTCTCACGACGTTTCGACCATAACACAAACGGTCGTCATCAGGTGTGTCGGTTTGCATTAATTTATTTCTAAACGGTGTATTTATTTATTTATAAAAAACGTCTGCGCCACGCGCAGCGATTTGTCAATTTATTTAGAAGGACTAGTCCATCTATGTTCTGAAAAGAGGAGGGGGGAGACGAAAAATTAATGTATGCTGTCTGAAAGCCACTGTTCAACGTGACTTTACCGAAAGAGCTAAGAATACGTGGTGCACGTTTGTACTTACGTTGAACTTCTTTCGCACCGCACGTAGCCAACCGTGCTACTCGGAGGTGCGGGGGAAGGACAACAAACTAAACACGCACAAAAAAGGACCGACATTAGCACGAGGTGGGGTGTGCTTAGTCAAGAGACTCGCACCTCCACAAGTGTGGTGTGCTGGGGGAGTGGGGGGTGTCTATCTCCTCTCCAAGGCGTCTTCCATGATTGTCGAGCCCATTATCCTAAAGTCTTGCTATCTCCTTGCATGATTACGTACGCCCAGGGGTGTGCAAAAGGGGCAAGCCTGCACCTCACCTCTACACGCCCCTCACGTGCTACGCCCCTCACGTGCTACGCACTAACCGAGCAATGTGACAGAGATGCAGGCGTCAGGTTTACCTCCGTTGTTTCGACAAATAAGTTCAACTCTGTAAAATATATAATATACAAATGAAGTAAAATAAAGTTGCCTTTAAAATACGCAGCCTATACTGCCAGAAATTGTCTGACCTTCTTGAGTAACCGTGGCATAACGACCACTGACTTCCAAGACTGAAATTAAGAACTTTGCATATAACCTTGTCTCATATTTGATTTTTATGCATATTTCAAAAAAAGTGCCCCATTTTATCAATTAATTCTTCCTTATATCAAAAGAAATCCATCAATGTAAATATCTGCCCATTGTAAACTTTAAGTACATATGGCCACTGCATTCCTTTGGTACTTTCGTAACAACAAATGTGAGGAGTTACAAATTAAAAAAATCACGAAAATGTCAACATACATAACAGAGCATTCAAAGTATCCATACAAGTTACTTCTACGACTTTAAACAATGTTTCTTTGTAAACGGCTGCAAACCAGCAAACGATCAATTGAAAATGCCCACGGGCAAACTACAAGGTAAACTCTGTAGGATGACTGCATACTGTATGTACAATAACACCTGAAACGTCGGTGAAGAAACCTCAACTGGTAAGGCACAAACAAACCAACCATAGACATTTGTGTTGGCTGAGAAACGCGCCCTCTTATACGTAACGGTGCTGTGTCTCGTAAAAGCACGCCGCAGTTTTAAACAAAGTGGCATTTTAAGAGCTGTGAAGATGTAAGAAGAATACAACAAAAAAGCGGATTTCAAGTGCTCAATGCAGCAAGATGCCTCGTGTGACTGGAGGTATTTATGCACGTGACGTTTAGCACTTTGGGCACGTGGAGTTGAGGAGTCTGAGCTAGGTCTGTACCCCAGGGCGGCACCTTTACACAGGCCGGGCATTTCAAGGCAGCCCGGGCACACGACCGCACCCCGCTGCCGCTCCGTTGCTGCTGCTGCTACTGCCGTCTCATCGCTCGACGCGAAAACACCGCGGGCCGGTGAGCGGATCCCCTCCTCTCGTGCTCCCCTAGCGTGCGAGCTGAGCGGAGCACCGTCACGGCAAGTCGCGCGAGCTCCAGCGGTGCAACGCCTGGCACAGCAGCGCCAGGCCGCTCTCTGGTGGCCCGAGTTGTAGCCAGCCCCCGTGGCCTCGGCTAGCGAGACGCCGGGGCCTCGGCTAGCGAGACGGGAGGGGTGGAGGGTGCGATCGCAAGTTCATGGAGTCGTCTGGGAACAATGGAAAAACGTGAACGGTTCGTCAGTCGGGTCAGCTCAATTTAGCGTTCAAATCCTAAGAAAATATATATATTAAACACGCCGAGCGAAATGTTGCCAACTCTCGATTATGGGGGGTTATGCGGGGAGGATGGCCGAGATAGAATAAAAACACAGATCATGTCAAAAATAAATAGATAAATTAGGCATGACACACATATATTGGCTACTTATGTAGAATGAGGATGTGAATATGAAGACTGTTTATTTTTCTCAAAGTAATGGATCATGAAGGCACGAGTGAGGAGTAGCTAATAACGGAAGTAACGCACGCGCGGATGATCGTGGAACGCGACGTTTTCTTCTGCTCCATGTTTTGAACGAGCGCGGCTCATCCCCAACCCGGTTCATCCCCAACCCGGTGGAACCACGCAGGGATAATTGAGAGCAACTGCAAATTTAAACATTGTACGAAACTACCGGAATGTCGCGCTAAAAAAAACCACACAGAAGCTGTAATTTTTATACGTCTTAAAAGTTACTGACTTCTCATCGCCTGGCTGGGATACGTCTTGTGGATGTTCTGAAAGCGCTCGGGAATGGGGAAGTCGGACACGGGGTGGAAATGAAATCTCGATTCGAAATCATCTGCGAAGGAGAAAGAAATGAGAACGTAAATTAAAAACAACCTCACATGAGTCGCACGTGACTCCGTCCATACAGCGAGGCTACCGTTGCAAACCTCCTCAGCCAAATGCTGCTTCAGAGGGGCAGCTCCAACAACCCCTCTGGGTGGATCAGAATCAGAATCTTTATTTATACTGGAGGAATCCAATGAGCTATAAAGCTCCTTTTCACAGATGTCCAGTCGGTTTCTCCAAACTCGAGATTAAACCACGACAGGATGATCCGTGACATGACGTCAATTTTGTCAATGCGGGCTAGCTCGTCTGTAGTCATGTATTCGTGAACCAAGACAATCAGAGAAACTGTGCTGAATAAATTTGCTGACATTACACATTAACCCGATGGATAATTCTGCCACATCCCAATTTTAATCCCGACTGTGCTATCAAAATCCTGGCATGAGAAAAATTAATATAAATTCAACAATTTCAGAGCAGTGCCAACCCTTCGTGGCAGAGAACGGCTCATCATAGGGGGCCCACACAATGGGGGGCAGCTGCCCTTTCCCGCACACCCTGCTACAGAGTAATGTTTGTCACATGAGGGGGGACGATCCAACATTTTTATTCTCAAGAGCTAGAATTGAGCTCATTGTTGACCAGCCTGAGACCATCAACTCACTTGAGAATTTGGTTTCGTCACGGGGAGGCCGAAACCCAGATTTTAACCCAGGTCTCAGTGGTACCACCTCGGCGCACTCCGACCTCTTGAGCCATCGGGCCCACACGCGTTCCACCGGTTACATTTTAGACGTCAAAATGTCGAAGATAAGGGAGTCCGAGTAGAGCCATGCCCCTTCGCACCTGACGTGGGCGAGTTCAGATGACCATTGCGAGAGGGCAGGGGCGGAGGAGCCGCGGAGGGGAAGTTGGAGCTGGGCCTGCTGGGGGGGGGCGGCGGGGGAGGCTGGTCCCCTGGTGCGTAGGGCCGCGCTGTCGTGGGCACCGGCGGTGCCGGGCGCGCGCTCATCTGTCCGTTCCTGTTGGGAGGCGGCGGAGGGGGGAAGGCGCTGGACGCGACTGGAAGGGAAGAGCGGAGAGGGGGGCAGAGGTCAGAGCGGCTCAGTGCCGGTATCCGACGGTATCTTTTATGGTGGCGCTCATCACACACAAAGCGCTTGCCACAAATGAACCGCCACTACCCTGGCGATCTCGTCGAGGAGCAAAAATCATCACGCGAACTCCGGTTATCCTCGCAGCGGCTTTTGGCTCGCCGTCGAACAAAGACGGTTACTGCATCGCGCTCTCTCAGATGCACTTTTGCGGCCGTTTGGAACGCTCTTCCTTCCAATATTAGGAAGCCACTGGAGCTAAGCACTTCAAAATCTAAATTTAAATCATTAGCACTGTTTTTGCGTTTAGTTTGTTGTACTTCCCCCGCACATCCGATTCGCATGGTTGGCTACGTATGGTGCAAAAGAAGTTCGACATACATACAACATACATACATACAACATAATTACGGGACTAGAGAATTATGGGACATGGAGGAGACGGGCGAGAGGTCGCACATGCCAACCTGCATGAGCTGCGCCACCGCGACTCTGGGCATCCCGGGCAGGAGTCGGAGGCCTCGTGCTCGTGGGCAAAGGGGGAGGCACCGCCCCTCCACGCAGGGGCATTATCTGCAGCGAGTTCTGCCGCTTAGGCAGGGAGGGAGGCGAGGGCCCGTCGGGGATCTTCGGCACAAAGCGATCCGATTTGATGGCAGGCGCCGCGCTGCTCCTCCTGTTTGAGGAGGGGGGCAGTGGTGGGGGGGGTCCGTTCCTGTGTGACGGCGGCGTGGGTGGATTCTCAGACCTGCGTCACACGAGTTCGACACAGCACATGGGGAAGCGGTGGTGCAGCGGTTAACGCACGGCAATGGGAACCCGGCGACTTGAATTTCAACTCTGGGTCACGACCAACATCAGCGGCGAGTGTTATCAAATCCATTGCTGGGCCTCTCCTTCAACGACCCGCACTGACCAGCGGGAAGTATGGTCAAACAACCCCCACGTCGGAAAAGGTATGAGGGATGGTCTTCATCCAGCAGTGGATTGGGAAAAGCTGTAAAATGTTGTTAAAAAATAAATAGGCTGCTGGCAGAGAGCTCCAATCTCAGCTACATTCATGCTCCACAGGTGAAAACCTTGCAGGATGGGCAACAAATTAAACACATCTAACACACATTCCATGAGTCACATCTTTCTGGATAATGAAAACGAATGTATAAATCAGTGTGTAAAGTGTAATGCCGTGCCTAATATGATCACAGGTCACAGGGTCTCACTGCTCACATGAACAATGGGGGAGCCACTTGTCTACAGTGGTGGCCCAGAGCCAGCAGAGGGATAATCCAATCTCCCACGAGACAACTGCTGTTGAATTTTCCATAAAGCGTTACTGATTTTATCGATCCTGTAGGAATGATGGGCTGCGTCAACACCCTACGGGAATTTAAACTCGCACATTTATAATTACCAGTCGATTACTCTGACCATAACGGACACGAGGCCGGGCATGTAAGGCCCACCGAGCTATATAGCTCTTTTTCAGAAGTGGCCTGGCCACAAATTATAGCTCAATGGAAGTGGCTTATCATCATGTGGAAATGTATCGCAGCCAAACACTCTGAACGCAGGCTTCTGAATATAAAAAGAAACACAGGAGTACCTGGAGAAAAATCCACGTGACCACAGAGAGAACATGCTAACTCCAAATATACAGGCATCAGGGTCGGGGTCAAACCCACGACCTCCTGTATACCAGGCGAGGTAGTTAAAACCTCCCCACCGTGGCTCTTGGCGCCCATCATACTGCCGTGCCACCTCTGGGGGTTAAACTCGCCTGTGCAGGAAGGCAGCTGGGGGTCCCATCTTGCTGCTCGAGGGAGGGAGCGGTGGAGGGTTGCCCACCGCCTCCCTCGACGGCGGGGGCGGCCATTCCCTACCCCCATCCCTCGACGGCGCGGGTGGCCACTCCTTGGCCACTTCCCTTGACGAAGCCGGTGGCCACTCCCTGGCCACGCTGTCCTGGCTCGGCAGGGGACGGCTGGTGCTGGGCACGGGCGGGCATCGGTCCCGGCCGCCCGGCAACGACGGCGGCTGCGAGGGACCGGGCCGGCTGCCGCCGAACTGCGGCGGCATCGACGGCGGACCATGCGTTGCCGACGGAGGCTTGAGGGGTGACGCCGTCGATGGCTTCTCCGGAGCGTGCCCATGTCCGGGGGATCTGTAGGAACTGTGTGCAGAGGACCTTCTGGGAGGCGTGGAAGCGGCCAAAGTGCTGTCGTTGGGATGAGCGGGGAGGCTTGGCCTGCTGCCGAACGGCGTCGGCTTGAAGCTTTGCGACGGCACCAGCGGCGGAGGGGGCTGGGGCTGCAGCTGCGGTTTCGGGAAGCCCGGCTTCTGGAGGCCCAGCGGAGGCCTCGGCTGCTCGGGGCTCGCGGCGCCGCCTCTGCCGCTGCTGTGGTTGCTCGAGCGCAGAGGCTTGGGAAAGCGCGGAGGCTCTGGGGTCGCAGAGGGCGACGGCGACGGCGACGATGAACGGGCATTGAAGCTGGGGCGGGAGGGGGTGAAGGCCGGCAGCCGTGGGCTTGCGCTGGAGGGGGGTCCACCGGCTCTGGGAGCGAACCCCGAGGGGGACGGCTTCCCAGAGGGGGGCAGCAGAGGGCCCCGTGCTCCGCTCGAGTCTGCCGACGTCGGGGAGGTTAAGTTAATTTCAGACAGTAAAAGCCGATTGCAACACAAATGCACACACACACGCACATGTAGGCAGCGGCTGTGTGAGTAGCCGTGGCAGCGTGGGATGTGCAAGTGCGAGAGTAGCTACGAGAACTGCCTGTGTGTACAGTGCTACATTGTGAGCAGCTATATTGGAGTCGCTATGAGAGAGTATCTACGAGTGTGAGAGTATCTATGAGAATGTGAGAGTATCTATGAGAGTATCTATGAGCGTGTGAGAGTATCGATGAGTCACTGCGAGTCTCTGACCTCCGCTGCTGCGTCCTCCAGCACCTCGCAGTTGCGGAACTCCACCGGCAAAGAGCCCTCCAAGTCCTGGGCCGCCCCCCCCCATGGGCCCACCTCCACTTCCCCCGCCTCCACCCCCCATCCTGCCTCCTCCTCCGCCGCCGCTGTCCTTGGGCTCTGCCGCGACACGGATTGCAAATTCGTCAGCCGCACCTCGACAGCTGCGGCTCAAGGCAGGCCCAGACCCCAAGCCCCCAGGCCCCACTCCTCCACGGGCGGTGGCGGCGCACAGACCTCTCGCTCGCCACGGTCCACGAGCAGAGAGCGACCGCCGTCGCGCGCGGGACAGCGACCTCATCGGTCATCTCACGAGCCCCATTCATTGAGCTATCGGATGACCAAATTACTTGGGAGCTTTGCCCGATCGCATCTCAAGCTAAGCGGGGTCAGCCCTGAATGGCCCCTGGGATGGGTGGCCGCCACGCACAAACACGTTGTCACAGGGCTGCGAGGCTGCGTTGCGGGCGGTGATTAAGAGCAGTACAGCGAAACACATTGCTGTACTGTACTCCTGTGCTCCCACGGCTATGCTGCCCGCCTTCACCAACCCACACCGACCACGACCCGCACGAGATATGGGGACCCACATCCAGCATGTTAAATCGTTTAGATGCCAAGGGCTACGATAAATGTGCGACACCTTGTGGTGCTAATGCAACCGTTAACAATCAAGAGTCATCAAGGTTGCAGTTTCATGGGTGCGTATTGCATAGAGGTGTGGCAAGGATCGTCTATAGCCATCTCTTTAAATCTAATACGGACCTCACAGGAGTAGAGGGATACCAGAGCCTCCCACCCACTCTGTTGCTCAACCACTGCCCTGCACTCCACCTGTTTAATTTCAGCCAGGTGTCATCGGGTGAGCGACCCGGTAAATATTTCCACAGCCCGGCACACCACATCCAGTAAACCTTTCACGTGCCCATTTGCCAGTCTACACGGCCAGCCAGAAAATACCTAGTGAGAAACTAAACGTTACCCGTACTGCCCACCCATCGGAACGATGGGAAAAACTGCAGTCAAACTCCCGCAATCCACTTGTGGCAAAGCAAGGGTGTGACAGCCACTGCCCACCGGAAAACAGTACGCTTATCTGCGTCTTGGTGCGTACGGGTTCCTCCACGCACAGCGAGGAGTGCCGGGAGCACGGGGCAGTCACCAGTCACTCACTGTCCACAATGAGGCCGCTCCGGTCATTGGTCACCGTCTTCTTGAGTTTCGCTCCCTTGTGGATGTCGGACAGCAGGGCCCCCCTCCCCTTCTGCTCCGAGCCGGAGAGCTTCGGAGCGTTTGCCTGCCATCGGAAAGGGAAGCACAGGAAAGGGAAGCGGGAGTCATAACGTGGGGGGGGGGGGGTCACTCGCCCATAACCCCGCCAGGCAGAGTTGTCGCATCCTAGCAAGCGTCCCCCCGAGGGCGTGCGCCCGACACGGCGAGATGGCGCGGGTGGGACGGATGTTTGCATTCGCGGCGCCACGTATCTCACGGGCTTTGCAGGTGGATCGCGGGTGACGTGCATGGGCGCAGCCGCGCGTGCGGAGCCATGTGCAAGGGGGCAGTTTTCAGAGAATGTCCATCAAACGCAGCTCAGTACGTATTTAACCGGTGTCCGCAAATGTGACGGGCACCTCGAGACGCTGTGCGGAAATCGCGTGCGGATTTGTCTTGTGGATAAAAGCAGTCATTAGCAGAGGAGGATAAACCAAAAGGGGCCTGGGCTTTAAATCAGTGGTAGGGAGTTGACAGCATTGATGGTTGGGGCAAGGGAGTTTCAGACTGTGGGGGGGGGGGGGGGGGGGGGGGGGGTGGTCTGTAACACGCTGTAACACCCTGACTGGCTAGAACGTACAGCTATGATGTACAACGCCTCTTTCACACCACACAATGAAGCGCCGGGGTAGGAGTGACATACCTGCGAGGTGACGTGATCAATTCCAAGTCCAAAGCTACCGAGGTTTAAATACAAAACCGCCGGCTCCGGTATTATTTTGCTCAATCATTGTAATTGCGCAATGCACATACCATTTTAAGGCCAATGGGAGTGACTCGCCGCCCTCTGCGGTGCAGCAGTCTGTTTATACGCGACGCCAGCCCTCGTTTGTCATGTGCTCCGCCGGTGCGGGGGGGGGGGAGCCACGGTGAGGCTGCTGGCGCCTCTCAAACAGACGTCGCCACCCTTGCTTGTCCCGCTGGTGCCGTGGACGGCCACCGGGAAGCAGCGATGAACTCGACACCGCAGGTAAAGCAGAAGGACCCTCAAGCGGTGAGATTTCACGACATGAAACACGTACGTGTGCACGACAGCCCTTCCGTCAAATCCACTGCTGGATGAGGGTCTCTCCCAAAGCTCCCATATTAAATACGCACGGGCGACCGTGACAGAGGCGGTGACCGATGTTAATTATTTTTGCTGTTATAGGAGGGTTATACAGAGCTAAAATTAGTCTATGCTTATAACCGCAATAATCTAAAAACAAACATTTTCACATGCTCGCTCCATAAAATTACAACCTAGAGAACCACACATCACAAAACTGGACGTTAACAAAATCGTTATTAATCAGAGTAACATCCCGATCTCGGACAATCTCAAAACGGTACTGGCTAAAGGGCTAAATTTCGCTGTCACCCCTAAACATATACCAGTAGAGCATATCATCTCTCAGGTCGATGTAGCCCTCAAAGGCATAGGACACATCCAAGCAGACGTTGCGAGAGCTGAAATAGCCACCATTCTTAAGAATGCTAAGAAACCCATTAGCAACATTAGCAAAAACGAACGCTCTGAACTCGCGAATTTAAAAAAAGAGGGATGATATAGTCATCCTCTCGGCCGACAAGAGCAATGCCACTGTCATTATAGATAAAAACTTATACAACAACAAAATCCAGGACCTACTCAATGATGCGAGTTACTCAAAAATTAAAAGTGATCCTACTAACAGCCTAACGATGAAAACCAACAAGATCATCACTAGTTCGACTTCCCTAATCGAACCAACCAAACGTCCCTCCCTAAAACCCTCCGCTGCAAGACCTCCCAGATTCTATGGTCTTCCCAAGATCCATAAATAAGTTACCCAACTACGACCCATCGAGTCCACGATTAACTCCCCTACCTACAAGCTAGCCCGCTTTTTATCGGATACTCTGCTTCCCTTCACTGGCAAAACCACCTCAGCAGTACTTAACTCAACCCAATTGGTTTATATGGTCAAGAACACTGTACTATCTCCTGATGATATCTTCGTCAGCTTTGATGTGGTCTCTCTGTTCACCAAGATCCCAGTGCCTGACACCATAACAATAATTGAAGATTTGGTCCAAAATGGACTGAACCCTGATGTACCTGCGCTGGTTAGGCACTGCCTCACCAACACTTACTTTACCTGGAATGGTACCTTCTACAAACAAAATGAGGGTACCCCTATGGGTTCCCCCTTGTCACCAGTGATAGCCAATGTTTTCATGGAGAAATTTGAATCAGACGCCATCCAGACATCCACCCTTCGTCCTTCCCTTTGGAAGAGATATGTGGATGACACTTTCGTAATTTGGCCACATGGCCTCCCAGCTTTGAACCATTTCCTAGACCACAAATTCCAGACACCCATCCATCAAATTCACCATGGAAGTGGAGAAAGATGGCAAGCTGCCATTCTTGGATTTTCTGTTTGAGAGGAGGACTGATGGCTCTTTGGGACATTCTGTTTACAGGAAGTCTACCCACACAGATTCATACTTGAAGCCTGATTCCCACCACCACCTGGCTCAAAAGAAGTCTCTCATCAAAACATTATACCATAGGGCTCATTGCATTTCTGACCAACACCACCTGGCCAGTGAATTAAAACATGTACATCTGGCCCTCAAGATGAACGGATACTCTGACCGTACTATCTGCCAAGCTGTTTCTCCCACCATACAGAAACAACCACCTGATACTCCGATCAAAACCATCACACTGCCATACATAGCAGGCGTTACCAAAAAGATTTCCAAAATTCTAAACAAACACAAGATCCAGGTCCGGTTCAATACAGTACACAAAATCCGTGATCTGATCCCATCCGTAAAGGATGTCATTCCTGACTTACAGTACCCCGGTGTTTACAAATTGAGTTGGACCTGTGGTGACTGCTATATCGGGGAGACGAAACGACATTTCTGGCCGAATGTGCGAGCACAAATCAGATTTGAAATACGGCAGAACGAATTCTTCGGCCGTGGCTGTACTATGCAAACCTCCCGGTTATTACCAAAGATTTGTCCATGAAGCCATCCAGATATACAAACATAGACACAACTTAAACCGAGAGGATGGTTTTAAATTGAGCAACTTTTGGAAAGATGTCATCAACCAAGTCAAACTTGAGCTGGCTTATAATTATACAGCCATTTCCGTTTCTACCAGGATTGTACTCGCTCTCGTGCAGCACGCCATCACCCTCCCCCCGAACCCCCTGCAGCATAACAAAAGGTGGTTTTACGTGCAAGTACACCACCGCCTCCCCCAGAAACCCCTGCAGAATAACAAAAGGCGGTTTAACTTAGCCCCCACCTCCCCATCCACGTCCCTTCCTGGCTCCTCCCCCCCCCCTTAACCTGTATATAATCTCGTGTGTCCCAGAGCTGTTCACTTGATACAGCTGATTTTGCTGTGTCTGTTCCACCTGAAGACGGAAGCTTGTGTTGCCTCCGAAACGTCGTGATTTAATTTAGTTGTTTTCATTTATTTTATTTTACCTACGTGACTTTACCGAAAAAACCAAAAGAGTATGAACCTAGAGGTTGATTGGTGTTACTCATACGGGCAAGGGTCAGCAATTTGCCTCCCGTGGAATGCGATGTTAAAGCCAATAAAATACGAGAGAAGCAATTTGTAAGTATTTTAATTCTAGATTTGAAGCTTTCGTGACTGCAAGGATCCATACTCTTTGGTTCTATTCGGTAAAGTCACGTAGGTAAAAAATAAATATTTTAATATTGGGCAAATGCCAAATAGTAGTTGATAATATTTTTGAGTGACGTATGCCTCTGAAAATGCTACGATAAATAATTTGTCATCCCTTCCTAAGGCTCATCATCTGATGCGATCGGACGCATGTCCCCATGTAAACCCCTGACAGGGCCAATGTTCGATTCACCGTGCAGAGGAACACCAGATCGGCCCGCACTGCCCTTATCTCATTTACAGCAAAGGTCACCGAGGTTTCAAGTTCCAAGGAAGTCGCTATCGGAGCGCAGCAGCATGCAGTGAGCCCTTTCTAAACGTGGCACAAGCCGGCCTATCGGCTCGCAGCAAGGCAAAGCCCATCCCCGCCTCGACTCGGCACACGGACGCACACACTGCACAACATGAAGACACATGAAGCAAAGGGGTGCACTGGTCACTGGCCACAAACTGTTGCAACAAAGAAGGCAACAGAAAGTAACAGATGCACGTTTCTGACAGCGCCGCGCAGGACCCTTGGCAGAAGTAGGGACCAAACCTCAACCAGAATCCTTCAACACAACTTGCCGGGGTTGAAGTCAGTATCTCTGGTTTTGCACCACAATGGGATCGTAGACATCAGCAAAAAGGAAACTCTACAGGAAGGAAGTTAAAAGCCAGGGCTCGGCACTGTGGAGAGAATAAGACCCCGAGAACGCGAGGGCAGCTTTATTTAAAAATCGCAGGCTTTTTTTTTGCCACGAGCACATTTAATGTGCGACAATGCGGCCTCTGTTTCCCTTCACTCAGGGGGTAAAAACGAATAAAAAAATCACCACCTCTCGGGCCAGAAAGCCAGTATTTAAACGTGCTTTTAATGGAACGTAGCGGCGTGATTATTTACACATACATATTTTATACGCCGGAAAAAAAACGCGACTTTTGTGAGACACGATATGGCTTTTTAGAAGAAAAAAAACACTTGTGGAAATTTCCTTTGGGGGGGGGAAGTCGGGCCAAAGGCGCATATTTAATTCCCAAGCAAACACTCGCGAGTGGGCGCTCAGTCTCCGTCTGGCGTCAACCGTGGATGCCCGACGGCGCAACTCCACGGCGGCGCGCCCTGCGCAGGAAGCCTCTCATTAGGGCCCTCGAGTCAGCTGACGGCAAGCCACCCGCTCGCTGGCACACGACACCAGCTCCACTGCCAACTTGCTTTTTCCACGCAGAAGGAAGTAGTGGTACGGTGGCCATTACCGCCGTGCGATTGCAATCGAATGAGCCGTGGAAAGAGCAGCGGGCGAGATTTACTGACGCAGCTTCTCTGCTGCTGTTGATTTTATGTTTTATTCGACGGTAGGATAAAAAAAAACATGCAGCGCAAACGACACCTGACGGCCGGACAATCGTGCTGCTGAAAAACGAACGACATGCATTAGCACACGCGACTTGAATAGGGTGATCATGAGTGGTCAATGTCCAGCAATAGCATTTAAATGATGGGATGCACGTCCTGACAGGGGCGGGAGAAGGGGCTGGTGATGTGCTAATCCTCAAGGTGAGCAAAAAAAGCCCAACGTAGGCTCACCCCATAAACGCGATTCACCTCCGTATCAGTGACGTATGCACAATGACTTTGATAGCCTACACTTCAGAGTTACGTAAGAAATGTACTAAAACGCACGTCATGACTGTTAAAAGTTATACAATACGATGTTTAGAAACTTCTACATAATGCACATCTTTGTCTACAAAACTATTGCGATGATCATATGTTCATCTTCCTTGGCTAGTAGACACACTATGTCAGTGGCCGCCTATTGTCTTGTCCATCTGGTCACCTGGTGCACGTCCGTAAAGTTACGTTAAGAATTCCAGACAACTGCACGATTTAAAATACCAGCATGGGTGGTGTAGCCAGGACCGCATCTTAATGTCTTTGTCTACCTTGTGTTGAAGTTGACGCACAGAACCGGGCACTCATTTGAGGCAGAGTCCACCACATGAACATCCACTCGCACAGGTGCGACACTTCATAGAAACGGGTCTTTCGCGGAGCGTCTTATGGTAGAATGCAGGCCAGCTCGTTCAAGTTCAAGACTATTTGGCTGGTGAAAAAGCCAGAGACCAGGTTAAGTCTCATTTGTAAGAGTGACATGAGGCATTAGTCTGCCCGTAGGGGGTAGTGATTGCTACGCATGATATCAATTGGGTAATTTGCAGCGCAATTTTCACCTTTGGCAAAACTTTGACCCCAACGCCAGAACAGAATGGCGGCCTACAACACTACTCTTGCTAATGACATTAGGGGATCTTTAACATCCACACTGTGAAGCAGAGGGCACGTGTCAGAATGGTTATTACAGCGACGGTGATAAATCAGGGCGGCTGCTGAATTCTAACCGTGAACAAAGCGATCGTGTAGCGAGCTCGCTATCATTTGGCCAGATCACGCCCATCTAAAACCGGACCCTACAGGCTTAGAGAGAACCAAGAGAATCCAAAAGTAAACAGAGTTTTATTATTCTAATATTTGTTGCTTTCAGGCAAAAATAGATTCTGCTTTTGCTCACGAGTTTTTTTTGTCCGGTTGCATCATCTAAAGATTGTACTTCATTCCAAATTAGGTTAAACACCAAAACGTCTCCAAATATAGACGTGGATGTTTTCACATGCATTTTTCTGCAACAGTCGCCATTTGTTTCCCCTGGAGGATTCGTCTCGGGGCTGGAGCCGATTTCGTAAACTGCTCCCACGGATTTTGATTTAAAGCTTAACGTGACTGCAGTAATTCATATTCTTGGTTCTTTCGCTAAAGTCACGTTGAAGGGAAACAATAAAAAAATAAAATATATATAACAATAAAATTCTCGCGACGTTGGTTTTCACACCTGATGATGACCGTTTGTGTTACAGTCGAAACGTCGTGAGAATTGTATTATTTTGTATATATTTTTTATTATTTTATTGTTTCCCTTCAACGTGACCTTACCGAAAGAACCAAGAATATGATCCCACGGATGTCGCACTGCGCGGCCAACGGTCTGTTGGCATGAGCACTCGGCAGATCATCGTAACGATGTTTGAGAGAGGTCAACCATAGCGGTTGTTCCTGCACACAGACGGTCGCCTGTCATAGGAATGCAGAATTTACACCATTGTTCTCCCCCCAGAGACATCAAGGAATGTGAGCACGATCCCAAATTAGTTTGAGCAGGGAGACACTGCGCCTAGTTTGTGACTTCACACGAGGCAGGCCGTTATGAACCTAATAAGACAGACTGTAATCCTTTACGTACTTTACAATGCCAAACACGCGACGTGTATTTTGAATGAATCAGAATAACACGAAGCTGTCATGCCGCACACGTGTGCAGACACAAACACCCCACGGTGCCTTCCTGTGTCAAAGTCTGCAGGACCACAACGAGCCGCGCGCGGCTATTGACACCCGCTGGTTCATCGAGCGAGTCAAGGATAAGCGAACCCTCCACGCACACCTGGAGATCAGGTAAACCCTCCACGCACACCTGGAGGTCAGGTGAACCCTCCACGCACACCTGGAGATCAGGTGAACCCTCCACACACACCTGGAGATCAGGTGAACCCTCCACGCACACCTGGAGGTCAGGTGAACCCTCCACACACACCTGGAGATCAGGTGAACCCTCCACACACACCTGGAGATCAGGTGAACCCTCCACGCACACCTGGAGGTCAGGTGAACCCTCCACACACACCTGGAGATCAGGTGAACCCTCCACACACACCTGGAGGTCAGGTGAACCCTCCACACACACCTGGAGGTCAGGTGAACCCTCCACGCACACCTGGAGGTCAGGTGAACCCTCCACACACACCTGGAGGTGAGGTGAACCCTCCACACACACCTGGAGGTGAGGTGAACCCTCCACACACACCTGGAGATCAGGTGAACCCTCCACACATACACCCGTAGGTCAGGTGAACCCTCCACACACACCTGGAGGTCAGGTGAACCCTCCACACATACACCCGTAGGTCAGGTGAACCCTCCACACACACCTGGAGTTCAGGTGAACCCTCCACACACATCTGGAAGTCAGGTGAACCCTCCACACACATCTGGAGGTCAGGTGAAATCTTCACACACACCCGTAGATCAGGTGAAATCTTCACACACATCTGGAGTTCAGGTAAAATCTTCACACACATCTGGAGGTCAGGTGAAATCTTCACACACATCTGGAGGTCAGGTGCACCCTTTGCACACCTAAGGTCAAGTGAGGACATGGGAACCCACCACACACCTGGAGTTCAGGTGAACCGCCCAAACACACCTGGAGTTCTGGTGATCTCTACACACCCGGAGGACATGTGAACCCTCCACACTCTACTAGAGTTCAGGTGAACCCTCCACACACACCTGGAAGTTGGGGTGAAAACCTCTACGCACCTTGGAGAATGACGGTGGTGGCGGTGCCGCTGGCGGCGGCGGCGGCGGCGGCGGGGGTGGGGGAGGAGCCGGCATGGCTGTCTCTCAAAGAGAGGATTCTCCTCCAGTCGTGACGTCCCCACCCTGCGGTTCCTGTGACACGAAGCACGTGGGAAAGAGTTAGGGGTATAGAATCGTAAACAACATTGGATGCGGCCGCGCGGGCCACACCGCAAACACGACCCCCCCCCCCCCCAGAAGCGGCGCACCCACGTGCTCATCAAACTAAAACCTCAGCGTATCCTGGATGGGAGCCAGACCGAGCATGCACCGTGGGGTTAAAAAATATCCGCTTGAGGATGAAACACCGGCACTTCGGAGCGTTACACAAAAGTGTTGTACAGTATTTTGCAAGGAATAGACTTGGCACTTAATGTGCAAGGCTAACAATAGGTTATCGAGCACAGCCAATAGGAGCAGAGGGAATGAAACGAGCATTTCAACATCGACAGAAATCAAATTGCAACCAAACCCTTGCCCATCGCGGCGGGAGTTACGTTCTTGAAAATTGCCGCAATCGGCAAATGTGAAAACTCGGGTCTTGTTCCCGGGTTCGTAATGCGGAACCCCCTCCCCTTTAGTTTCATGTTACCGTACATGAACCCCAAACATGAAACTGGAAGGTTTTTGTTTTTACATAATGCCTTTTCTACAGTCTTAAATATAACTAATATAGTCAATTTATGCAGTGGAGGGGGGGGGGGCGGAAATGTCGTTGGAAAAATCGCAGGCAGCTTGAACCTCACTGCCTCTTCAATGGACGCTGGGGACAACACGTGACCTGTGACCCGCGATGGGCTGCATGGGAGACAATACGGTGTGTGCGGGGTTCTTCTGCGGCTGCATCATCTCGTGGTCAACCGCGAATGGTCGAGCCTACGGGGGCGCGATCGGCAAACTGTACCTCAAGAAATCTGGCGCGAATGGTCAAATGCGCGATGGGAAAACCTGCGATGGGCGAGGGATTTGATGCATTTGGTGATGCTGCTGCAATGGCAGTGGTACACAAGCACAATTAAACAACACATTGAGCATATCCGTCAACAGCATTGCCTTAAATTTTAAAATATATAAACGGTGACATTTCAAGCATTGACCCTTCTTCATCGTAACACAAACAACCATGTACTGTTGCTCACTGAATAAGAAAGAACAATTATGCGCACACAAGAATTCTGGAACACTCTCCAACGTGTTTGTCTTCGGAAGTATTTAATTAGCAGTGCGGAGGCCCATAATGGAGCTGTCAGGGCAACATGTATCTGCATATTTGCATACAGTGGCTTTTACTCTCACCGTCTCTTAGTTTTGAGCAACCCTCATAGTAACACAACGTAATTCTAAGCATTTGCTCTCATCAAATCATCATCATCATCATCATTTCGAGAGTATTCGTGCCCCCCCACCTGTTACAGATGGACACAGCTGAATGCATTCAACCTTCTTTGCAAGGCTTTAATAGACCGTATTTGTAAGGCGTTTTTAAGTGGCAGATTAGTGAAGTGGTCGATGCGATCACCACTGACCACGTTTGTGCGAGGTCATTGGTTTTACTCCTGCTTTCGACCAGTTATTTATCAAACGGAAATTGCCCAAAGTTTAAAAATTGCTATGCAACGGACGTTGTGGGAAAAAAAAAGTCTGTCGTGAAACGGAGTTGTATTATCTTCGACTTCATTATATTAACAATAATGTCACTTATCTAGGAAAGCCCTCAGCGAGAATACTGAACTGTGACTTTTGGATCATTCCTTTCACTTGAAGGGTGTAATTTGCATATCAGAAGATAAAAAGTCGGAAAAAAACCCCCCACATATGAGGGGAAAACATTCACAAGGTTTTTCACAGAGATGCGTTCACAAAATCTGCCTGCTGCACTCCCATATCGCAGCCACCTCACAGCCGAAGCGCTGGATCACAGGGACGTGCCCACCGCGTTACTGGCGAGGTTGTACAGTAAAAAGACACAAATGTCAAAAAATAAAAAAATAAACCCCACAAATACTCTTTGGTTCTTTCGGTAAAGTCACGTAGAAAATTAAATCAAATAATAACACCCCTCCTGGCTGACCACGCTCCTCCAAAGAATGACACTGTTGGCTGTTGTGTTGGCCGGCTCTCTGTGCGTTGTGTTTCATTGCGTTTCTAAGTTTACTATGTTTGTTCTTTCTCATTCATTCTTGCCTGATGATGGCTGCTTGTGTTGCAATCGAAACGTCGTATTATATTATTAGATTTTATTTTCTACGTGACTTTACCGAAAGAACCAAAGAGTAATTCTCCTGCAGTCACAAAAGCTTCGAATCTAGTTTGAACCCACGAATAATTAAATATAAAAGTGATAAAGGGCCATTACCCTTGCCTATGTTGCAACAGTAAGAGTGAGAGTAAGCCTCCATTGGTTTCACCTTACATTCATAATGACTTACAACTGAATTCAAGTAAAAAAAAGATACCTCGTAATAGCCTGAAAATACTATTTGGGAAAGTGCTGTTCACGAGCACCTATGAAGGCTGGCAAGGCACACGAGGGGGTGGGTGGCCAGCACCAAGCCCGGCCGCCTTTGTCTCCCTAGTGGCGATGTTTACACACCGCACCAGATACTCACTGGAGGCTGAGTCGACATAGGGGAGTCCCAGGACAAGTTGAGATAGTCTCCACTGGTGTTGACCATGAGGGCGAATCAAACTCAGGTCGCCGGGTTTGTCGTGCAGCATGCTAACCTCTCAACACTACCGCTCCGCACAATTAAAGGTACAGTGCACACACAGCAACACATGGAACCGAACACACGCAACGTTAAGAGACGCGCTTTTTACGAACGAGGACACAAAAATGCGGGGCAAGAGCAAGTCTCTGTCTCTACGGTCGGTGGTCGAGACTAACGATGGAGTCGCAGCCACAAGGTGTGGAAACACGGCCCCGGCAGGACGGCATCCGTGGAGACGGAGCGATAAAAGAGCTCCTGTGGCGTGGCAGCTGAACGGATTGGCGCGAGGCCACGAGAGGCGACGACGACCACAACGAAGGGAGGCCCTCCGTCCAGCCCCGGGTAGATGGTGGCTGCGGACGCGCGAATCATTGCGGTGACTGCCGACTCAGCTACTGGCGGGCGCCCGCGTTAGCTGCCGAGGGTGGAAAAACACCGAGGTGGTGGCAGCAGCAGCAGCGCACCGCGCCACAGGAAACCAACACTGGGAGAGCACCCAAGGTCGCAACTCAGCAGTGAGGGCCTTGAGGAGTCGCACACGGTGCAGCAGTCGACACCTGCCACACTCGACTGTACAGGGTGGCCCCGTCAGGCACAGTCGCAGGTAGAACGGTCACGTTCGAGTGATGTCTCCGCACAGTCAGACAGAACAGTCAGACTCAAGTGATGTTGCAGACAGTGGGACAGAACAGTCAGACTCAAGTGATGTCTCACACAGTCAGAACAGTCAGACTCAAGTGATGTCTCACACAGTCAGAACAGTCAGACTCAAGTGATGTCTCACAGTCAGACAGAACAGTTAGGCTCAAGTGATGTCTCACACAGTCAGACAGAACAGTCAGACTCAAGTGATGTCTCACACAGACAGAACAGTGAGACTCAAGTGATGTCTCAGACAGTCAGACAGAACAGTCAGACTCAAGTGATGTCTCACAGTCAGACAGAACAGTCAGACTCAAGTGATGTCTCACAGTCAGACAGAACAGTCAGACTCAAGTGATGTCTCACAGTCAGACAGAACAGTGAGACTCAAGTGATGTCTCACAGTCAGACAGAACAGTCAGACTCAAGTGATGTCTCAGACAGACAGAACAGTCAGACTCAAGTGATGTCTCACACAGACAGAACAGTCAGACTCAAGTGATGTCTCACACAGACAGAACAGTCAGACTCAAGTGATGTCTCACACAGACAGAACAGTCAGACTCAAGTGATGTCTCACAGTCAGACAGAATAGTCAGACTCAAGTGATGTCTCACACAGACAGAACAGTGAGACTCAAGTGATGTCTCACAGTCAGACAGAACAGTCAGACTCTAGTGATGTCTCACACAGTCAGACAGAACAGTCAGACTCAAGTGATGTCTCACAGTCAGACAGAACAGTCAGACTCAAGTGATGTCTCACAGACAGAACAGTCAGACTCAAGTGATGTCTCACACAGTCAGAACAGTGAGACTCAAGTGATGTCTCACACAGTCAGACAGAACAGTCAGACTCAAGTGATGTCTCACAGTCAGACAGAAAAGTCAGACTCAAGTGATGTCTCACAGTCAGACAGAACAGTCAGACTCAAGTGATGTCGCACAGTCAGACAGAACAGTCAGACTCAAGTGATGTCTCACACAGACAGAACAGTCAGACTCAAGTGATGTCTCAAACAGACAGAACAGTCAGACTCAAGTGATGTCTCACAGTCAGACAGAACAGTCAGACTCAAGTGATGTCTCACACAGTCAGAACAATGAGACTCAAGTGATGTCTCACAGTCAGACAGAACAGTCAGACTCAAGTGATGTCTCACACAGTCAGAACAATGAGACTCAAGTGATGTCTCACACAGACAGGACAGTCAGACTCAAGTGACGTCTCACACAGTCAGAACAGTCAGACTCAAGTGACGTCTCACACAGTCAGACTCAAGTGATGTCTCACACAGTCAGAACAGTCAGACTCAAGTGACGTCTCACACAGTCAGAACAGTCAGACTCAAGTGATGTCTCACACTGGCGATGTTGTCAGAGTCAGTCTTTACGCACTGCGCCCCGTGGTCACACTCACGGGGCACTGTAGACACAAAAACTAACACAGGAAGCGAGCCCTAAAGCCCTCCCTCTGTCTGCTCTGGCGGCAGCAGCAGCAGCAGGTAAACTCATTGGGCAACAGCACCACACGGAAAGACATCGATTTGGTCGGAAAGTCACCGTGAAACACAAGGACAGAAGCAGCCTCGACAGTACACGAAACCGCTACACTCCCCGCCTCTTGAACCCTCCTGCGAGAGGTATCGGTGTGTGCGTGTTGAACGTCTTTCACACCACCGTACTTAGTAACCAAACCGTGCTTACAGGAGGTGCGGCGGTGGGGTGGCAGCAACAATAT